TGTGAGCAGAGGTCGTGCCATTGCACTCCAGCCTGGGTAACAGGAGCGAAACTCTGTCTCAAAAAAAAAAAAAAAAAAAAAAAAAAAAAAAATTGGCCTTTTTATTTTATTGTTTTACTTTTCCAGGGGTCCTTTTATAATTATATAAAATTTACTTTGTATAGCTTTGTTACTCTAAGAAGTACTTACTATGAGACAAAAAAGTTTTCAAACAGAGGCATATGAATGAGACCAGGGTAGGAAATGGATCAGCTCCCTAAAACAGGGGCTAGAACAGAGATCTATAATTTAGCCGTAAGAACAGAAACATTACAATGCAGAAACCACTGTGTATAGCAAGTTAGAAAATGCATCAGAGATGAGATAAGCCCCAAATGACCATCACTTAGATAGTGTTGAGAATAATTCAATTAGATCCTATAATACGGTTTCACTCTTAAAGACTATAGAGGGTGTGTGCCTATGTATGTGTGTGTTGTGAAGGGCAGAAGAGAAAGTGGGTAGCATTCTGAGGTTTTGTAAGTACTCCTACCTTAGTAAAGGTTGGCCTAGAAATAACAGTAGGGCTAAGATTACAGGCACAAATATTAGAGGCTTACATATGGAATTTCAAAAGAATTCAACTTGTTAATTTGGCAAGTTAGACGAGAAGAATTAAAGAGGTAAAGAAGACAACTGGTCTTATCTGAGATAGTTACAAAGTAGTGAAATTTCTGTCATTATTAATATGGGCCTGGAAGGACTTCTGAAGACAAATAACAGAAAGTTGTGTATGCTTATTCAGGGATTCCAGCCTATCTGTACACAGTTTATAAGTAAGGAAGAATGTACGTGCCACACATAAGTGACAAATGGCTAGGTACTTTTGAACAAATAAAGTATTATTCCTCAAAGTGCTGCTTTTCTCTAGGGCTTAAAAGTCTCTGTACAATTGGGAAAGTTTTCTTGCTGCTTATGCTGAGTTACTTAGGTTAAATAACATATCAGAACAGCTATTAAGCTAAGACATGAGTTTTGGAAGTCAGGTTCTTTTAAAGAATATGCTTAAACTTCATTTTATTTAACACAATTTTAAGTGGTTTTAGAATCAATTGTCAGATTTATCTTAGTATCCTATGTAGCATCTGGTGGAGTACTCAGTAGACAATGGAAATTGAATAGATGCTGTTGAATTGAAATGAACACTTCTTCCACAAAGTTTAGCTTTTTAACTACCTTACTTTCTTCTCTAAGATTATTGTCTCTATTTTATGAACAGTTTATAAAGTGACAAGTGCATTATTATACTTGAAGTAGGCATCTTTTTTGATATACTAAGACTTAAAGATGTTGTAAGTCAAGATTTAGCTATAAATGACCTGGTTACATGTTTGGGGACAGAGCAAACTGTGAGGGGTGAACCAGCACCAAGAGTTGGTGTGAGTGGAAACAGAACAGACATGTAGCTACTTGGTAAAGATTCACACTGGTAATAAACACTGCTTCCTAAGATTTTTATACTATAATGTCACAATAAAAGCAAGATTTTTCATCATAGACTTTAGAGAGGTAGCAGAGGTTTTGGTAGGTGGGATGTAAATAATAGGAAACCAGAACATAACATGCATCTGCAAGTAGCAGGTCCAAAGGCACAAGAAAGGCAATCAGGAATAGTCTTCCTCCTTTTATTATCTCTCTAATGGATGTCCCCCCTTATGGAATATGCTGACCCCTTCATAAGTACTATTTTTATTCCTATTCTATATCTGTCTCTCCAATTAGCACAGTTACTACTAGCAGATACTAATAGCACTCACTGCTACTATTACCACATCCCATTCAATCATCCCTTTTCTGTGTTCAATTTTGCAGTCACTACCAGTTCCAATAACACAACCACACTGTTCATTTCGATTTGTTGAGCACTTACTTTATGGACCAAAATCTTTGCTGGATGCTTCCTGGCATTATCTTTAACCCTCATAATAGCACTCATAGGCTTGGCATTACTCTCCATATTTTCAAATGAAGATTATGTTGCATTTATTATGTGTCTACTGTATATTAGGCATGGTGATAGATGCTAGCGATACAAAGGTGAATAAGACACATTCTCTGTCCACATAATCTTCATCTTAGGAAAGATTATTGTAGAACAGCACCAAGTGGCTTAGCTAAGGCATAAGCAGGCTAGTGTGGAAAGATAGAGACATCTAGTCCATTCTGAGGGGAATTAGAAGGGTGGTGGTGGTAGCGATGAGTGCAGGATGACTTTGGGACTTTGAATTGAGTATAGATAATGCATAAGGTTTATGTGGACAAAGCAGCAGAGAGAAAGAAAGAGGTAAGCAATCCAGATATAGTTCATCTCTTAATTGTTAATTCTTTGTTTTTATTTTACTTTCCTGGGGATTTACTCAACTTTATCTTCTAATTATTTGACATGTTCAAATTTCAACTACTGTATTTTAGTAAATGTACTATTTTGTCCCTAATTTTTGCTTCTTAAGTATCCTTCTTGCCTATCTTATTACATATGAGTCAGTGAACTATCTCCATTGTATATTTTTGCTTTAATCTGTTCTGCTAAAATTTATGGGCTAATAATTTTATTTCTCATAACAAGCTAGAAATTTGTCTTACTGCTTAATTTTCAAACTTGTCATTCAAAAACTACCTTTCATATTTTGGGAAATTTGGAGAAAACATTATTATATAGGATTCTTCAGCAAAATGGAATCATTAGGAGAAATAATGAATTGGCTCACATGATTGTGGAGGTTGGTAATTTTCAAGAATAGAGCTGATATCTCCATTAGAATCAAGGACAGCAAAAAGCTCATGTCTCAGTTTGAAGGTTGTCAGGAAGGAAGAATTCTCTTACTTGGAGGAAGGTTAACCTTTTAAATTCTACCGAGGCCTTCAAGTGATTGAATGAGGTCCACCCACATTAGGAAGGAAAATCTGCTTTACTTAGTCTAAAAATTAAAATGTTTGTCTCATCCAAAAATACTTGAAATAATGCTAACATCTAAAATAATGTCTGAGTACTCCATGGCCCAGTCAAGTTGATACTTAAAATTATCCATCACAACCACTAGTTGAATATTAAAACTAAGTCAGAATTTTCTCTGAAATAATAAGGGGTTGTCTAGGTCATAGGGTTATGACAGCCAGTTCAATTGATTGAAGAAGCGAAAAGGAAAGGCCACTATACCACCAGGCATTGCTACCACATGTCTGGCCACAAGATTTATATAATGTGAGAACCTAAACTATAAGAAGATCAATTCTGAGCTATCATCACACACACACACACACACACACACACACACACACACACACACTTCCCTCTCTCACAAATGTGTCCTAAATCTAAAAATAAACAAGCATAATAATGCTGCCATAATGAAATTGTAACTGAATTCCAAGACTTGCTACAAATATTTCTCAAATAAGATATTTTTGTGAACTCTCTAAAAAAATCTCAATCCAAGTATAGAATTGTTATTTTTTAAAATGTATTTTTTAATTAGGTAGACTACCATGAAAGCTTTGTTCAATCAATTTTAAACAAAATTTATTATAGCCAGTATAACTTGTGCTCATTTAGAAATGTGCAGAATAGCAGAAAAATGCATCTACTCCCATCACTGAGACTGCTCTTAGTTGTACAGTATTAATCATCAGTACCATGACTTAGCTGTCATTCCTTTGAATAAATATTTTCTCCCCACCCTGCTTAGTGCACAGTGAGAGAGAGCACTGGACTGGGAGTTGGAAGACCTGGACTTAACTCCATTGCTTTTCATGGGTATCTGTCTGAATTTAGGCTGGCCTTGGGATATCATTTGTCAAGAGAGAAAATTGGACTAGAGATGATTTTAATGACCTCTTTAAGGCCTAATGCTTTCATATCATGGGTAACTTCTAATAGACTGATTAATGTCCACCAAGAGAAAATTGACTATCATTAGTTTAAGGGGTTAACATTGAGCATATAGCTAAATATTGACATTTTCTATCCTGCATTTTTTTTCTCCCTAATCTCAAATGCATCATCATCTCTTTAAAGTATTTCAGAAAAGGATGCTTATGATGTGGGGTGTGTGTGTGTGTGTGTGAAAAGTAGGCTAAATATTACCCTGATTCTGGTAACAAAGGACCAAGCTCATATTGCTAATAACCATGTTATTTTCCTGAAACAAGCTATAACTAAAATCATTAGTAAGTCATACCTTGTAACTATGCATTGAGGCCATACATTGTAATTTTTCTAAGTGGTTGCTCTTTGAATTGGCCAAGTTTAGGATTGATGCTGACCAGCTTGAGTCAAATTTCATCCAAATAAAATACTTGCTTCAGAAACCCAGCTGTATGGTACTTTCAACGTGGGAATTTAGTGAAAATCTCAAGTGTTGCACGATCTCTGGTCAGTGCTTCTCTAATTAGAACTTAGACCTTCATATTTTGACACTAAAATGTCAACAAATGCAATCAAAGAAATAACACATTTAAAAAACTCAGGAGTCCAACATGGTATTTTAAAGCTCAGTGTGTAGATTTCCTAGAATTTAATAAGATGAGGTTGAGCAGATGGAGCATAGAATGACAAGCTGTGTTTTATTTTATTTTCAAAGTAGTATTATTTTGTTGAGAACCAATTATTCTATAGGACTTTAGAAAACACCCATGAATCTGAACTGCTGAAGAAGGTGTCAGTAAATTAGGCCTATTGCAAAACATTACCAGTGACTCATTTAAAATCAGGAGATCTCTTTAGGAACTACTAATTTGACTAATCAAGGTGATATGGCTTTAGAAAGTAAATTGTGCCTAAAGGAGGTTCTGATGTAGCTCTAATCATTTAAAAGGTTCCCAGAGCATGTCTGTACTGATGACAGAATTACAATGGTAATTTATTTGGATGTTGTGTGATTCAAGAGTTTAATGCCAGAAAAGAAACTAAAATTCCCAAGTGAAGCTATTATGCATTAGATGATGTATAAAGGAAAGGCCGTCAAAGCCTCTCCATGAAATTCCAAAGTCAACAGTCAAACACACCTCAACTCCTCTCCTACCCACTGCAGTGAAAATAAGGATATTTACTTTTTTCTCTCTAGCTTCTATCACCATCATGGGCAGTCTCACTCAACATATGTGTTAGATATGTAAGATCTACATGCAAAAAGTTGGGGTGGGTAAAATTAGAGGGTGTAGAGGTGAAATTAGCATCTTGAGTAAGAGGGACAGAAAGAGCTGTGAAGAACACATAATGCTACTAAGAGACATTACTCCTTACTTCTCTTTTCTTCCTTCACCAGGATCTAAAGATGGTACCAGAGATTTTTCTCTTTGTTGCTACACTTTTACCTTTGGTAACCATTTCTGCAAAATAGTTGGATCCAAACAAGTTGTCTTTGAAACATTTTGACTAAATTGTATAGTGAGAAGACTTCTGCTTCCAGACATGGTAAAGTGACAGGGACCAAATCCTAAACAAGGCATGAGAAAAAAACAAAGGTAAGTGAGGATTGGGAGGTTGGAGGGGTAGTAGCACTGAGCGGATGTGCAGGGGACTTGCCTTGAGTCAACAGCAAAGTACTGATAAATGCATGCCTTCAGGGTAAATACCCACGGCTGGGAAAAGAATCAGCATAAAGCAATGGGTAAAACAATGTTTAAGGTCACACAGAATCAAGGATAGTTCACAAACAAAAATGGAATGACCTCTTAACATATATGCAGTCAAGTAAGGTTCTTAGCAGAGTATTGCCTCACGAGTGAAACCAAGCTAGCCCTAAAGACTGTTCTGTATCAGTCTGACAAAGCTTAATCACAAGCTTCGAAAAGTTCAAATTGTTTTCAAGTAACTTATCTGTTTCCCAGAACAAATTCCTAAAAATATTTACAATATTTAAATATGTAAAATCATAAGATTTCCAATCTCTGACATGTAATCAAAATCTACCTAGCAAGCAAAGAAGTGGGAAACGTGATCCATAATGGGGCATGTGGGGTATCAATCAAGAGAAAGAGACCCCGAAATGTAACAGCTGATACAATTGATACACAAGAATAATAAAACAGCCATTTAAATATATTACATATATACAAGAAGGTAGTAGGAGATATGAAATTAATAAAAAGATAAAAAGGATGCAAATCAAATTTGTAGAGATCAAAACTACAATGTCTGGGATGAGAAATACTCTGGACAGGATTAACAGCAGATTACCCACTGCAGGCAGTGTGGCAGGGGATAGAAGAATGAATTTAAAGACATGTCAATATAAAGCCTCCAAATAAAAACACAGAAAAAACTTAGAGTAAAATTTTAAAAACACAGAAAAAGACTGAAAAAAAAAAAGAATAGAGTATCATAAAGTGGGCAATATCAATAAAAGATGTATAATTGGAGTTACAAAAAGGGTATAGAGTCAAAAACTATTTAAGGAAACAATTACTGGAATGCTATAAATTCTAGTTTCCACTACATATGCTGAATCATAATTTATTGGGTCTCTGTGTCTCTGACAAAAAATGAACCACTAGGGATAGAAGAATGGGATGGGAAATAAAAAGTAGAATTGAAATAAAACTATAGCTTTAAAGTAAAATAGAGCATTATCTGAATCCTGAGTTAACCAACTTAGAATAGGTTATCCTGCTTTGGTGCTGAATATATACACATCATGTTGTGAATTCTAATAACATTCAATAAAATCTTTAATGAAAAAGTGGAGCTCCCTCTTCTAAAAATATCATACAAATCTCTAGATAAACTTTTTCCCTATTAGTCTGATGGCCTCAAGCTATAGTAATATGAATGAGCTACATTAACATGGGTGAAACACTATGGTTAACTGTGCAAATTGTCTTAGAGGAAGATAAACAGGTTTCAGATAAGGTGGAAATTGAATGAGGAAAAATTCATCATACTTCTCATAGTTCAGCTCACTTTAGCATGGATAAACTGAAGAGATGCAGCTGAGTTACTGGGTAAATACAGTAGCCCTCTTCCCCAGTCCTAAAGAGAAAGGAATATAGGATCGAAAATATAGAGTATTCAGTTGAAGAGAAAACATATTTAAAACAAAAAAAAAATCTCACATTATTATTTTACATTGGTGATGTTGACAAAAGTGTAAATTGAATAAACTAAGGGATTAAATCCAGGAAATGAACACCAAAATGAGATATAAAAACAGTTTATAGAGTTTTGAAAACAACCAGAGGTCAAAAATCCACATTTATGAAACAAAGATGAACTAGAAACAGTGAACAACAAAATAAAATTAAATACATTAATTAAAGTTGAATTAAATAATTTCAAGAAAGTCTTAACATAATCAGTAAAAACTTAAGACAAAGAGATCAAAGCAGTAGTAGAGACAAAATATGTACAACTAACATATATAAAAGAAAACTTTGTTGCTAAATTACAGAATATAAGAACATAATGTTGAATATAGTAAGAAATTCTTCTTCAACGATTTAGCTTGCTTAAGTTTCCTTGTCCTTTGTTCCCCCTTTCAAGGCCACACTTCCTTACTCTCTGTGTTCCTGCTGCCCTGGTAAACAACCTTCTTGCCAGTCCTTATCTATAGAGCCCACATTCCACATCTGCTACCCACTCTGTGAATTACCCCTCCCATTGCAGCGGCTTCTCCTACCAAAACTAATCTTCTTACCTTTCCACTGGTGTAATAGCATTCCTGCATTTTTCAAGTTAGCCAACCGGGTTCACCTTAGATTGTGCAGTCCAACTCCAGCCAATGGAGGCAAGACACAGTAACAGGGACAAGCTGTGTTAAGAGATAATAAAAACCCCTGCTCTCCTTTGTTCTGTGTGCTCTCTGCTCCATCCTGGAGACACACCCTTCTACAGAAGTAAAAATTGCCTTGCTGAGAAAATTTATGTTTGGGTGCTACTTCTTTTGCAGCACTGAAAAAGTTTGCTTTTAACACATAATGATAGTAAAAATAATTTAAAAAAGAAAAGAAAATCCTGAGTTCATGGCATAACTGAATCAGGACATTGAAAAGCACATCTAGATAAAAAAAAGATTATAGAACAATAAATAAGACATGTCTTAGTTGTATTATTAAGCTTTAAAAATGTATCATTAGGTATCAGAGTAGAAAGTACAAGTCACCTTCTATAATGAAGAAAAATCATAATAGTTTAACATTTTTTTTAGCAATAGGCAAATGTAATAGCAATGCTCTGAGACCCAAAAATCTTTTATCTAACCAAGTTATTTTTCATTTATTAGGTAGAAGGGCTAAAATTCTCAAATAACAAGCAAGTAAAGAGTTTTAGAGGCCATCACTCCAGCACATTATAACGGGGGCTTTAAGCAGTTCATGGAAAATGCATATTATGAAAATACTATGTATAGATTTCAATTTTTTTTGCAGCAAAATCAACTTGTATAAACTTGTTATAGCATGTTTGAACAGGATGTTGTTTGAGGCACTAAGAAGGATAAGCCATCAGTTTGTAAAGAGCCTCTATCAGGAAAACTTGAATTCTGCTAAAATTGAAGCAAGAACAAATATCAAATTTGTGGTGAAGAGTGGGTGGAAGACTGCTGAAATCATTGATGCTTTAAATAATGTTTATGAGGACAATGCCCCAAATAAATCAGCGTTTGAACACAAATAACTGTCTTTAAAAGGGAATGAGATTATGCTGAACAGGAAGCATACAGCAGTAGACCATCCACATCAATTTGCAAGGCAAAATTTCATCTTGTTTGTACCCTAATTGAAGAGGACTAATGATTAACAACAGCACAAACAATAGCCAACACCAGACATCTCAATTGGTTCAGCTTATATAATTCTGACTGAAAAATTAAAGTTAAGCAAACTTTTCACCTGATGGGTACTAAAACTGTTGTGCCCAGATTAGCTGCAGACAAGAACACAGCTTTCAATGGAAATTTTAAACAAGTGGGATGAAGATCCTGAAATATTTCTTCCAAGAATTATATCAAGAAATGAAATGTGGCTTTACCTATACAATCCAAAGCAAATGCCACCAAAGCTGAAAGTGGTCCCATCAGAGCAAAACCAGTCAAGAGCAAACATCATGACAATAGCTCTTGGGGCTACTCAAGATATTTTGCTTGTTGATTTTTAGGAGGTTCAAAGAATGATAACATCTTATTATGAAAGTGTTTTGAGAATGGTAACCAAAGCTTTAGCAGAAAAATGCCAGAGAAAGCTTCACCAGAGATTCCTCTACTATGACAATGCTTCTACTTATTTCTCTTATCAAACGAGATATTTTGTGAGAATTTCTATGGGAAAGTATTAGGCATCCATCTTACAGTCCTGATTAGGCTCTTTCTGACTTTTTTTTTTTAATTAAACTTTAAATTCGTTATATAGGTATACATGTGCCATGGTGGTTTGCTGCACCCATTAACCCGTTGTCTAGATTTTAGGCCCCATATTAGGTATTTGCCTAATACTCTCCCTCTCCATGCCTCATCCCCTGATGGGCCCCAGTTGTGATGTACCCCACCCTGTGTCCATGTCTTCTCACTGTTAAACTCCCACTTATGAGTGAGAACATGCAGTGTTTTTCTGTTCCTGTGTTAGTTTGCTGAGAATGATAGTTTCCATCTTCATCCATGTCCGTGAAAAGGACATGAACTCATTCTTTTTTATGGCCACATAGTGTTCCATGGTGTATATGTGCCATGTTTTCTTTATCCAGTCTGTCAATGATGGGCATTTGGATTGGTTCCAAGTCTTTGCTATTGTGAATAGTGCTGCAATAAACATACATGTGCATGTGTCTGTATAATAGAATGATTTATAATCCTTTGGGTGTATACCTCATAATGGGATTGCTGGGTCAAATGGTATTTCTAGTTCTATATCCTTGAGGAAGTGCCACACTGTCTTCCACAATGGTTGAGCTAATTTACATTCCCACTAACAGTGTAAAAGCATTCCTATTTTTCCACATCCTCTCCAGCATCTGTTGTTTCCTGACATTTTAATGATCGCCATTCTAACTGGCCTGAGAGTACTCACTTTTCTTAAGTTAATAATATAAAGAAGATTGCATTGGCATGGTTAAATTACCAAGGTCCTCAGTTTTTTAAAGATGAACTAAATGTTGGGTATTATCACTTACAAAAGTGCCTTGATCTTGATGGAGCTTATGTTGAGAAACAAAGTTTATATTTTTTATTTTTATCTTTAAATTCAATTTTTCCATAAGCTTTTTGAAGTGGGAACTTCATACCAGTGGGAAGCAGTCAAGACTATAAATGGAGACTGATGTACCATCTGTCAAAATTTTAAAGATTATATCTAAGATTTTGTATGCATATACATGTGTGTGTATATGTGTGTATCTAACAACTATATAAAATAAAATATGTTCTTTCCTCCTACCTTGACAAATATAGTTTTTCAATAATCTGGAATGCTAGGTTTAAATTTAGAATTTTTCAGTGACTTGGAGTTCCAAATCAAAACACGATGATGTGGCAAGAGCCAGCTTTACTCCAGGACACTGTCAATGTTGGACATCATTTACATACATGTGAATACCTTAGTTCACACATTCAGGTTGTATCTATATCTTCTCAAGCAGTCATCCCTGGGATATTCTGGGGTCTAGGTGTGGTGATGTGGTCCACTCTGAGGAGAACAGAACTGGGGAAGGTGCCTGTGCAGGCTCTGGAAACAGGTTTAAGATTGTTTGGCAGAGCATGTTGGGGTTCCAGGTACCCAAAATGTGGTTGAGAATATGGGCACAAAGACAAAGTCCCTTGAACCAGCAAACCCATTACACCAGTCTGAGAAAGACGTGAGCTGGGGTAAGCTAGTTCTAGGCTCTTTAAAATTCAGGGATTGGAGTGAAAGTACTTCTTGCATAGTTCTAAGTGTGGTACTGGTGGGCATAGCACCCATGAATTGTTTTTTAAGAAAATACTGAGGAAACTAAGAAGTCCTGCAACCAAGGGACAAATGCAAAAAATACTAAAGTATTAAACCAATAGTCAATTTAGGAAGATGGTGAAGGAATGCTTAGAAAGTTTAGTAACAAAAAAGATACTGATCCAATAATTTTATACCCTTTCCTTTTTTTCTGTAATATAAAAGGCAACATACTGACATTCTCAAGTATATAGAAATTCATACAATACAGAAATGACGACTCTTTCTTAAAAAAGAATTCATGATTAAGTCCACTCAACCAAGATATGACTACAGAAAAGTGTGGCAACAGGCCTGGTGATTATCATAGCATCTATTAATATACAGAACTGAGACTTAATAACTGGGGGGGATTATGGTTTGAACAGAATACAAATGTTGTGAACCCTGTAATATCAGTGATTATATAATATTAGGGAGTAGAAGTGAGACTAAAGTTTATGTAAGAGTGCTAATTTTCTCATAGGTAGAAGCAGGGAGTCAGTTATTCTCTCTAAAGTTGAAACATGTTGTTTAAAAGACATAAACACTCTAGACTTTTAGTATTGTTTCCTGTCTATGTTTTTTATTCATAAAGGAGAAAGGAAGTTATATATTGAAATTAAAAAATATACATTTAAAGTCTAGCAGTTGCTTTTTCTTCAGTTTCCCTTAGGTTTCTTCTTTAATTGAAGGAAAAATTAATACTTTCTTTTAAAAAATATAATGTATAGGATAATCATTTTTTAAAATTACTTTTATCTTTTGATTAGTCTGCCATCTATCAATCTATCAAATTATCTATATATCTATCATCTAGCTTCCTACCTCCCTAATGACCTAGTCACTTATCCATATATCTATTTACCAGTTTTTTTTTATCCTTCTCCCTATCCACCCCTTGATCTGTAAATCTTCATCAAGAGATGTCTGGAATGATAATCCCTTAATATAATTCTGTAGTGTTATTTGGAATGTTTTGGTTAATTCTTTATACAAATGTCTATTTCTTGATTTCAACATATTATAGTGAACACGTATGAATTTTACAAAACAGTAAAGTCCTTTTGAGCAGAATACTTAGGGTGAACCAACTCCTGCTGGGAGTTGTTGGCAGAGGAAGAGGACAAAGGAAAAGAAAGAATTATAATGAGGGAAGGAGAATGGCATTATTCTCCTACAACATAATTGTCAAAAGCTGATCAAACTGAAGGCAACACTTGGGCCCTATTGGGACCCACCTACTGATCAATCTAATTGCTTATCTTTGCTTAGAATTTCGAATGAGTTCCAAAGATTGTTTTCTAAGTGGAATATTATCTGTTGATATTTATGATCAGGTAGCTGTCTTTCTTGGGAAGGAAAGTAGGATTCACATGAAACTTACAATGCACCCACATCTTTTATTCTCTTTATTTGAGCTTAGATGGTGAGATCTGTTGAGATCTGTAAAGGATACAGAGATGGAAGAAGCAGCAACACGTGAGAGCTCTGGAGAATGGAATGGGGAGTACATCACTCCACGGAATCTCTGTAAGGCCCTTCAGATAATAGGGAAAGTCTCTAAGACGTGCTCTGCAATCAGTTATTTTTTTTCTTTTTCTTTTTCTTTTTTTTTTGAAACGGAGTCTCCCTCTGTCACCAGGCTGGAGTGCAGTGGTGTGATCTCAGCTCACTGCAACCTTCACCTCCTGGGTTCAAGTGATTTTCTTGTCTCAGCCTCCCCAGTAGCTGGAACCACAGGCATACGCTACCACGCCCAGCTAATTTTTGTGTTTTTAGTAGAGATGGGGTTTTACCATGTTGGCCAGGATGGTGTTGATCTCTTGACCTCCTGATCCGCCCACCTCTGCTTCCCAAAGTGATGGGATAATAGGCATGAGCCACCACACCCAGCCAGTTCGTTTTTACTTTATAAAGAACACACTGAGAATAGAAACATTGGGAATAATGCAGGGGAGACAAAGGTCTTGGAACACACTGACAGAGTCAGCAGGTTCCTGGCTGACAGGGAATTGCAGAAAGCGAGAGACAAAAAAAGACTTGGAATGACAGAGGTGGAGAGAGATGACAGTGAAGCCAGAGACCTTTGGGCTTAAATCTACAAAGTCTGAGACTGCCAAAATAATTTGGACTGAGAATTTCAAATGACATCACTGTTCTTTCAAAATCTGCATTTGGCAGCTCAATTTTTAAAATTGAAAGTTAATTTCAGGTGTGGGATTTTTAAGACAGATTAAATCATGTGAAATTGCTGTTTTCAGCAATGAAAACAATATTAGCAAGACTCAACCTAATATTTATCCCGCCACCCCCTACTTTCTCTCAAACAGATTTGGGCTCAAGCTGTGGCTCGGCCACATCCTAGCTGTGTGAACTCTGGGCAATCATCCTCTATAAAATTAACTTTTTAAATTGAGAAACTGAGAATAATTCTGTTACCCAATTCCTAGTCTTATGGTAAAGATTAAAGGAGTTGATGTTTATTAAGTATTTAGTCCCAGAAAGCATTTAATGACAGCTCTTGTTACTTTTATTTTTTATTAAACAAATCTTTATATTACTCTGCTTAAATCCCTTCTCTGACTTTCTGAGCCTCTTAGAAAAAGTCAAACTCCTAGACATGACTTCCAAAGCCCTCGTAAGTTCTGACTCTTGCTTATTTTGATAGCCTCTTGTTTTATCATTCCTGTAAACACTTTTTAAACTTGTGTCAATGTGAGGTCCTTCCATTCCTCAGCAAGTCACGTTTGCCTTTACCTCCTTGGCCTAGAACACCAGCCTCTTGCCTCATCTGCTCTCATCCTCTGGAAATCATTTAGGCAACTCCTACACTGGATTAGGTGCCTTGAGAACCTCCACAGTAGATGGTACTGTTTGCTCATCATCCTTTATTATATTTCTTTGTTGTATAGTCTTTCTTCCTGTCTGCCAGCAGCTATCTTGCTTATTTTTTGTTGACTCCCGAAGCTAAGGACAGCACTGAACATATTTTAGGACTTCAGTCATTCTCTGCTAATACTGCCACATCTTGGGAACATACATAGTATGAGTCAAATGTTTGTCCTTTCCCAAAATTCATCCGTTGAAACCCTAATTCCTAATGTGATGATGTCAGGAGGCAGGGCCTTTGAGAGGTAATTAGGTTATGAGGGTAGAGTCCTCGTGAGTGGGATTAGTGCCCTAATAAGAAGAGGGGTGAGAGCTTGTTTTCTCTCTGCTCTCTGCCACGTGAGGATCCAAGAGAAGATGGCCGTCTGCAAACTAGAAACTGGGTCCTTATAAGCCTGGTTCTGTTAGCACCTTGATGTTGGACTCCAGGACTGTGAGAAAAAAATTTTTTGTTGTTTAAGCCACTCAGTTTATAATAATTTGTTATAGCGGCCTCAAATGATTAAGACAGTGCATTACAGCAAACTCATTTTTTTCTATTCTCCTAGTTGCTACTGTTTTCTTTAGAAACAACTCACAGTTGTGTGGGCTGGCAGAAGAGGAGAAAACAGTTCCTGCATCCCAACCAGGTATGCAGAGAGACTTATGCCTTATAAATAACTAATTACTAAACACAATAGCCTAATTTATTCCAGTATTAACTCTGTTTTGATTAGGCTTATTTGAAGTTTAAATGGTCAATGAACATTTAAAGTAGTCATAAATCAAGAGACAATGTTCTAAATATGATTTTAAAATGTTATTTACCAGATATTTAGGGCAATCAAGGGAGAAAGAGAAACTCACTTCTTATGAAATAGTGCTTTAATCTATCTCAGAAAATATTTTGAATGTTGCTTTCAAATGATTGCTTTTACATTATAATTTATTTGGTTTACATTATATTTATATATGAGTAAGAGCTTAATATACTCATCAGTAGAACTAAAAAGGGAGGATATTTGGAAAAAAATTGAATACCTTGGTTCCATAATAGTCTGAATTTAGAAAGAAGCCAATTTAGAGTGATCTCTGTTTAAATGTTGGTTAATCTTATTATTCTGAGGAATGTTGCAGTGTCTTTCTCAGAGGGTGGAGAAAATTGTAGGAGAAAAGGAGATCACTGTTTTAGTGAATCTCATTTTACATTAAATGTTTTATATACCTTTGACAATAGCTATAAAACATTATTAGATAGAATGCTTTACACATAACAAGAATGTTCACACATTTTCTTATTTGATTCTGATCAAAATTTTGTGGTATGACTGCGATGTAGAAACTGAGTCTGAAAGGGGAAAAACTGATTGCTGCAGCCCATTTCACTAGAAAAAGAAAACTTAGTTTTCCATCTGAGTCTTCTTAACACATAATTACAAAATAATCCATAGCAAGAAGGCTTTAAATAATTTTTGGCTTTTCTTGTATTAGTCAATATAATGATCTATTCCATTGCTTTCTTAAATTATTTCCCCATGAATTTCTTTCCAAACAAAGCTTTATTTCATGTTATATTTCTTTTTTATTCTATTTTATTATTGATGGGCTCCTCAATATTAATAATTAGCCAATTCAATGTATAAAAAGTATTTAAAATGTTAGTCCCTGAAGATTATAGGGCACCATAGATTATTTATTGCATTTTCCACTATGGATTGCTTCAATGTCTTGGGGCTTTTCTTTTCTTTGGTTTACTGCAGAAAAATTTCTTATAATCTCATTTTACAGTATGCATTTGCTCCATTACCTCTCTATTATCACTATCACGAACTTTGTTCTTAGAAAATGGAAACAAAGCAAGTGCTTGTGAGATGGGACTTAGAAAAGAATCACATTTATTTCCTGGTACTTAGCACTCTCAAAGGACTTTCAGCAGCATAGACTATTATGAAAAGAGAAAACATCCTTCTGTAGTTACTGTCCTTTCACATAAGTGCTTAACCCCTTAGAAAACATTCATGATCATTCTTTTCTTATAAGGAATCTAAAGCAGAAATAAAATGTTCAAACTTAATGTCAAAGGAGGATTTTTTTTTTCTATTCTATGACTGATCTTTCAGACAATAAATAAAATAGACATTGCTGAATTTTAACTTTGCAAAGTATAAAGAAGAAAATAAAAACTCGTGTAGTTTTACCAAGCAGAGATAATGGTCTTATATTTTCATTTCCTTCTAAGCAACTCAGTGTGCTCAAGCATTCCCCACCTGACTCCAGTAAAGCCATAAGCCCAGTAGAAACACCTGTACCTAAGACTCTGCTGACCCCACCTGGTGCCTGATATTTTCTCCATTCAATTTCTTTATACCCAATTGTTACCCTTCTAGCAACAGAGGAAAAGCATGTGGCAGGCAGTGCTGGCTAAGGGTCAGATCACACTGCCTCTGAATGTAGAGCAGAGCAATGGGTGCCTGCAAGTTCATGCAGGTAATATACCCTTATTGGATATTTCTGTTAGATTTGTCTTTGTGCTTGATTTCACCTTACCTCCAAATTGTTCTTCTTTGGGCCTAACCCTACACACCCCTGCCTTGGCTTCATAGACTAACTGCCATGACCATTTAGTTTCTGTGTTATCTTCCAATTGATTATTGCTACTCTACAGTAGAACAAGTAACATTTAAATATTTATTTTACATCTAAGCATTATAACCATTGTTGGCCACAGGACACTACCTGCTTAAAAGGATGTATGGTCATAGTCATTTTGTACATGCTGTCTTTCTTCTAATTCCTGAAAATGAATTGATGAGGCCAGGAGTGAGGTAGCAGTCCATTTTTTTAATACCTTTTGCTCCTGACAAATCACTTTCCTTCTTAGTAAGCATTCTGCATATTAACAATGACAAAATGTTATCTAAGAAAGTTTTTCAAGAAAAAAATTGCCTAGATTCTTTTCTTTTAAAATTATAATTTTTCTGAGATTTTATTGAGATCCAATCTTTACTAGTATTTGTCACTATCTTTCATTGCTTTGACAATTACAGAGGTTCAGTGTGTGCCATCAAAATCCTCTGATTTTTATATTCATTTTGTATTTTTATGATCCTCAAACATATTTTCTAATTTTATTTGGAGTTCCTTATATTTATTTCTTTCATTTAGATAAAATTTAGTATGCTAAAGAAAAATTAAAATGAAGGCCACGGTTTGGATATACCCCAGGCCAACTGCCCATAGCCTTGTAGCCAAAACTTAAGTTTCTCTGATTTCCCCGAAATGCTGGCTCAAATAAGAAACAAACATGAAATGGAAGCTTTTGATTCTGTCAGCATGATTCAGTGAAACTAAACCAATCAGCTACAGACAGATCAACTTAAATAGCCCTGCTTGCCTTAGAAAGAATGTCAGTGTATAACAGCCGGTTGTGAAAACGGTCGAAATATTTTCTCTTTTATGTTTTATAAACTGCATTTTAAAAGTTTCTAGAAAGCTTCCTAGGCTGTCAGCCTGTGTTGTCCTGGTTTGTGAACTAATTTTTTTTTGGATGAGCAATAAACTTCCATAATTTTAAAATTTTATCTGATTTTATTTTTTAAAAGTAAGTTTGTGGCATGATGTAGATTTCTAACATGATTTTTTAAAAATGCCAATTATTACAGTTCATATTATTGAAAAACCCTTATATCAATTGATTTCCATACAATAAAGCAGAATATAAACTATGATTTTTGTGTAATTATGATTACACTTGCTTAATATGGTTCACATACACCTGAAAAAAGCCAACTGGTGTTTGAATAATTACTAAGAACGAACTGTGTAAAGGCCTATTATGTTAGCTCATGATAGTAACTCAATGTATTGAATAATTTGATAATCAAAAGTCATGGAAGCCCTGGCACTATTGTTGGTAGAACCGTAAAACTGTTCTAAGGTCTTATTGGGCGAGAAGGCAGTGTAAGTAAAAATAAATACGTAGACATGGACGCTTGGATTTATATCTAAAGAGAGAACTCAAAATACTTTATTTTAATGTCCCAATAAGTAGAGTTAAAAAAAAAGAGACAACAGAAAAAACTTTGTGGGTCTGTATAGACACGTATATTCAAGCACTCCTTTGAGTTTTTGTAAACCTATAGATGCCATAATCAGGTTATTTTAGTTCATGAATGGTGTAGTTGCATATTCTCATCTTCTTTCTTGTTTCAGGATTCTCTTTGTTCTGCTCTTGAAAAAGGCAGAGTCCCCCCTGCTTATACACCTCCTGGTATGAATTACACCTCTTGCATGAGTTACTCAGGGATTACAGCCACTAAAATGGTTGACTGGTTTATTTTCTTTCCGGTTAAAATTGTCAGGAAGGTTTGGGCTCATGTCGGAGTGTAGGACTGGGACCAGTTAGAGTCTTGATTTAGAAATTCTGAGTTGAAGCCCAGAAGTTCAGTGTTTCCTTGCTCCTCAGATGATTCTTGTGAATGCTTAGGTGTGAGAACTACTATAGTAGGCTCTGTTTTTAAGAGATGTGTTCTGTTCCATTGACTGTGTATTATTTTTGATAGTGCTTTATTGTTTTAAGTCTTAGCTTTTTTGTTTCATTTATCTAGTAGGATAAGACTTTATAAACCTTGTCATTTATAATTTCAAAATGTATTCTTATTTGTCTTCTTTGTTTTCATGGGAATTTAATTCAACTTATAACAGTGCAAGACTTTTTATTTTTAAAGTAAACATTTATATATTTTAAGAATAGAATGAGTCTATGTTTCATCAATATTTTTCTTATTTTTTCCAAGTAAAGTTGTTTTCTTTATAAGGGATTATAATGTTCTTATTTATATTATTACTAGATATCTATATTCTTAGTTGCTATTATGAATTAGTTTTTATCTTTTGCTGTATCTTCTCTTTGGTTATTGCTACTCTAGAGTAAAACAAATAATATGTAAATATTTATTTTATATCTAAGCATTATGACATTTACAAATCGATTTGAATTTAAATTTGATTCCTTTGTGCTTTCTTGGATTTCTTCAAAAAGTGACACATCTGAAAATTTAATTTGATTTTTCACACACAAACTACTTTTCTCGGGATGAAATACTTGGGTAGAAATTCATTCCCTCTTTATGTACATGGATGTTCATTTTCTAAAAATGTTTATGTATTATATATAAAATTTGTGAAGTATTTAAAAAAATTCCTCATTACACTTTGTACCCCTGTGGTTCTTAAACTGCAGGGCACATATAACATTCTGGGAGCTCATTAACAATGCAAACTCTTGGTACAGTGCCTTTGAGATTCTGATTCTGGAGGTGTGGGCTAAGTGCTAAACACCTGATTTTGCTGAGCAAAATCAGGTGATTCTGAAGTGATTCTGATTTGAAGTGATTCTGAAGAATTCTGATTTGAAGTGATTCTGATTCTGAAGTGATTCTGAAGAATTCCGCAGGTGATTCTTAAGCACGAGGCCCTCATCACATATACTCAAAACACCGCTGAGTATATTTTTTCCAGTGCTTTCTAGTATCTAATATTTCAGAGGAGAAACCTGAGATCTTTGTCCTTTGTCTTCTGCTTCCTATCCTGCTACAAGGGTGCATTGTGCTCCCTGGGTAGGTACAGAAAGGGAACGAATGAAAGAGTG